CTCTGTGAGCATCCAGCTTCTTTTGCAATTGCCTTTTGAGACTTTTCCTCCTTATGGAGGGTGTCAATGATGGTCTTCTGCACAACCGTCAAGTCAGCAGTCTTCCCCATGATTCTGAAGCCTACTAAGCCAGACTGAGACAATTTCAAGGCTGAGGAAACCTTTGCAGTTGTTTTGCATTAAATAGCTGACTAGATTGGGACACAGGGAGCCTACAGCGTTGAACTTTGTCATATTGTCTAATTTTTGTCTTGAACCACCAGAATTTTCCTGGATAGTTATGCAATTAGAAAGAAATACCTAACAGAAACACATGATCTACAGAAAGCTTGTAATTGATTCTGGGTAAAACCTGTACAAACATTTGAAATTAAAGTGATATTTACTGCAGTAAAATGTAACAACCTCTTTTAATCAGAGAAACTTGGTCAAATAAGAGTCAGAGCTTTTTCTGAAAGCTTGAGGGATGAATGTATTAGAAATATTTAATCTTGTGGTGGAACATTTGAAATTAAAGTTTATACAGCCGTCTTCAAATGATGAGCCAGGGGGCCTAAGTGGACAAATTCTTTCCACACCACAACAGAGTAAGGATAGGTACAAAATAAATGTAAGGCTCATTATCATCTCCACGGAAGAAACTTTCCTTTGGATACTGTAATAGAACGGACGTGTGCCCTCTTTATCTCATAGTTCTTGCCATTCCTCTTTGATTTTACTTTTAATTAAACTTTTAATATCAACCTTAATATAATTTACTGACACACACACACACACACCTCTTTTCTCTCCTCCCCCTGTGTTTTTTTAACTGCAGGCTGCATCCAAATTGTTGCATTGCACTGGCACCTTTCGATGTGACTCGTATTACTACATTTATATCCTCTTATCTAACACCGTGTTTTGAAGTATAGAAATAAAAAAAGCCTCTGCCCTTCGCTCCAACTTCCATAACAATTTTCAGTGTCAGATCTTCCAAGCTAAACTTTATTAACTCATGTTCTAACTCTTCCCTTTCTGCCCTATATATTCTACATGATATCAAGACATGCTCCACAGTTTCTTGCAGTCTGATGCTTCCCTGTTATCTTAAATGAGTTATTTAAATTTGTATGTCCAGTTCTCGTCCTTGTCGTATTACCTGTACTTATATGCGATTTGGCCAACATATGGTCTCCACACAAACCTTGAGGAACATTTTAACTGTTCTCTCCTTGGTTATTATACAGCAAATGATTGAAACTTCGGAAATATTGTTGTCTTCCTGCAGATATCCACTGTCTGTCAGGTGCGAGGGAGAAAGCAACGTTTACATCCAGTATTTCCACAAAGTATAGCTAATGTGTTAGCAGACCCCGTCGTTCTCTGCGGATTCAAACAATGCTTAGGACAAGCATTGTATCTTTACAGACAGACAACAAACGTTTATGTGTGGGGCACTACGAAAATATAACAAGCCTGGGGATTTACAACATTCCCCCCTCATGTAGTTCACTTCCGTGTTCTAAAACTTTGGAAAATGTAAATGGGCGTAGCGTTATGACTATTATGTCAAATCTGGCGGAACGACATCAGCGACCTTCTCTTACGACCCCGCCCGTATGATTTCTATTCTC